GGGGCGGCAGACGGGCCGGGCGGGCTGGCTGGCCGGCTCCGTGTCTCCCGGGTGACAATGGTTTCTTTTGTCTTGCGGCGGAATTTGTGGCTTTCGGTTACAGGGCCCCAGTGTGGGAGTGTTGCTCAGTGCGGGTCAGGCCGTTAGCGTGAGGAGTCGCCCGAAGGTAGCTATTGTTTCCTGCTCTCTCTCCTCCAGCTCCCGCTTCCAGATGCTGTGAGGCGAGGCCTGGGAGAAGGGGACCCCGGGGTGCCGGGATGCAGCCAGGGACCGCCGCAGCCTCCCTCGTCCGACGCCTGGGAGCACCTCTCCGGCCTGGGGGAGAGGGGAGAGCGAGCGAGCGAACGCACAGAGCAGGGCCTGCTCCTTTTCCCTGGTTTGGCACTTGCAGTTGGCTCATGGGTTTGTGGTATTCGGTTTCAGGCTTAGGGATTTCAACCAGCCGGCGCTGCTCCTGGGAGGAAGGAAGAGTGAGCTATACTTTTCTCATTGGCCCGAACAAAAAACAGAAGCCTCTGCTGGGGTTTGGGAGTGGTTTATGGGCTGAGCTCAGTGGCAGGGGAGCCCTTGCAATGCCAGAGGGAATAGAGCTGAATGGTGCGCTGTATCTATTGCGAGAGAAAAGGAGCTAAGCTCAGGGTAATGCTGCCTCTGCGTGTGCTCGCGCGTCTCCCCCGAGTTCATGTGCATGTACGTTGCGCCTCTGCGTTCCCCTGCCTGTGTGTGTGTGCCTGCGCGTGTGTGCATTCGCATCCCGGCGTGTCTGTCGCTGTCTTTGTTTCTCTGTTTGCTTGCGGGTTTGTAGCTATGCGTGGCGAGTGCATTGTGGGTTTGCCTGGGAGTGTGGTATCTGCACTGGCTTATGGAGCGGCGTCTCTGTGTTGTTTCTGTGTTCCCAGTGCTCTGTGTTTGCTTAGTGGTTCAGCTTCATTTGTATCATCTCCCTCTCTTTTTTTGGGGATCTCTGTGTTTGTTCTTCCCTGTGAGTTTGCAGGTTACTCCATATTTCTTCGCATCATTTCTCTTAACAAATTTCCCCAGATTTTTTTGGGGAAATTTCCCCTTTCCCCCACACCACAAATCCTTCCTCCAAAATAACAATACATTAACTTGAACTTCCCTTCCTTGTGGGGAAGGGAAGCTCCCCCACAACAGATTACAAGCAGCTGCATGTTTTAAAACCCTAACTGAGGCTGTGCAAGGAGATAAAGTGGAGTATGCAGGGATTGGATGTGGTAGCAGTTGTGAAAAAAATTAAAGTTGGGGCATCTTCTGCATCGCCTGTTTTTTCAGGGTGTAACTGGTCAGATTGTCTCCCCGTGCCCTACTTGGGATTGTGTTCCTGTAACCCGTGTTACCTGCTCTGGCCCAGAGCGCTGAAGGCAGAGAGCTGTGACCAGAGCACACAGTGGGATGTAGTTTCTAGATTTCTTTCAACATGGATGCTGTGCTATGGTGCTTTTTTCCCTCCTTTTTTTTTTTTTTTTTTTCTGTTGTTGTTACGGAAAAACCTGAAAAGTTGAATCGTCCCCCAGATTAGCAGCTGTTAGTGATGAGAAGCCGCTTGCTGAGGTTGGAGCCGAGCCGTGTATAAGATTAGCTGTGGCATGGAGCTGTGCTGGGACCATGTGACTGCGGTGTACATTGGAAGAGGAAGCTGTAGAGGTCAATGCAAAGGCGTTGTGCCAGACTGGCAACAAGGGAGATTGCTATATGGCGGAAGATCGCTTTTTCAGGCTTCTGAGCCTTTCGGTAGCTCTTCGGGCTGGACAAAAGCAGCCCTGTAAGATTAACAGCAGAAATTAAATATGGAATGGTTCATTTGTGGATGGAAAGAAAAACTAGGTTTTTTTCCAAATGCTTTGTAGGTTTTTTTTAGTCACCATATGTGGCTCTTTCACTAAAACCACCTTTATTGGAATGGAAATTGTTGTGTTTAGAGGAGTTTCAAGAAAATGGGGAAAAACAAGGAAAAAAAAAGAGTTGTGTGTTCACAGTTATATCTGCCTTGGTGTTTTTTCACAAAACTAAATTTTAAGCACTTCGATTTGACACAGAATTCAATCCTGTTATTTCCTCTCTGAATACAAAGAGTTCGACAGCTTCAAGTTTAGATTATCGACTACTGAGGAACAAATGAAACTGGCTAATGCTTAGGCCATTTACACTCTTTCAGAATATCTTAGTATGAACGGGTAATTGTTGGTAGGTAGCACTGTCTTAGAAAATTTTTGTTAGTGTGATGTGTTTTACATCTGACCTTTTGGAAACTGGAAATAATTGATTCCATAAGGATTTGAATTTTTTACTTTAAAACAACATGAACCTCTAATACTCAACACTGCCCAGAAACTGAGAATTTCCATGTCGTTTTTTTGTTTTATGAGCAATTATTCAATCTGTGACTTTTTGCAGTTTGGCTGGAAGAAAAGCAACTTCCTTTCTGGGCTTGTTTTATTGTTTTTAAATTCTATCTGACTTGTAATCAACAACATCTTGGTAGAGAAAACATAAAAGGAGAAATTAAAAAAAAAAATTATTTGGGAGAGAAGGACTCATATTTTGAAATGGAGCATATTGAGAGTCTAGACAGCTTCTTGGCTAGCTGTGATTTTTGAAGCATCTGAAATACCCCAGGGGCAGAAAAAGCTCTCCTCCTGCTTCTGAAGGATAAAATAAAAATAATTCCAGAGTGGGCAAGAGTAGATACGTGTAATTGCACAAGGAGAGGTTTTAATTGTGAGATGAAGGCGCAGGACCTTTTTTGAAGCCCACAAATTGACTGTCTTCATGACAGCATTGCGTATCATTCTGTCAACTCCAGCTCGGGATGTGGTTGCTAGGCAGCGGGCTCTTATGTACCTATAGTCTCTCTGATTTGCCAGCCTTCTGCAGACACATGGTAAGGTCCTTTCCAGCCTATCATCTAGAGGGACTTTTGCACGCCGTCTGCATACTGCTGAGATTCTCTCTACCTGAATGTGATGAGAAAAAGACACAGTTAAATGAAACCTTTTTTCTTTTTTTTTACAAATCCCGTACTGGTACTGTTTCCATAACCCCCCTCAAAAAAAAAAAAAAAAAAAAAAAAAAAAAAGCCATGAAACGGGGACCGGAACAAGGAAAAGAGGTTAGTGGGTTAAGTGGTGTGTGTTTCCTGCGTTTGCAAAGGTGCCTATAGTGAGAAGGGCGGCTGTAATTCGGCCATTAGTTACAGATGGTGGCTGGAGGCTTGAGATTCATGCAGCGAGATGAGAGCTCTTGTATCTCTTTCCAGTGATGTTGACTTTAAACTGCTTTGAAAACCTGAATCAAGACGGCATTAAAAAATAGTGGATTTGATACTTAGCGATGCTGCCAGCTGGTTCCTTTATGTATTTTGATGCAGAAATGCCTAGAAATGTGAACAAAAAGGAGTTAATTTGCCAAATGAGGTTTCTGTCCCCCAAGCCTTGCAAAAATGGCATTAGTGGCAAGTAGGTAAAGAACGTTCAGGAGGATTTATAAGGAAATTAGATTTTTAAAAACTTTGCTCTTTGAAGCAATTTGTGTACAACTTTTGGAGAAGGTTATGTCTCTCAAGCGGTGAAGGGAAAGCATTAAACAGATCACCCCGGGGATTGGCAATGGCATAAGAAATATTTCTGAACAGCATAACTTTTAATGCTTTTCCATTCCTTAACTCTGAAAGCTTTCATTCCAGTTGAACGAATAGCAAACTCAACCTTGGAGATACACATTTTTCAGCAGAAACCTAGTTATAGTTACTTCATGAGACAACCCCCAGTACTATAAATGCAGAAGCTTAATTGGTGGAAACAGTATCGTACATGCAGTTAACCTCTGCAAATTAAGATGTGAAAAATACTGTTTCACACTGATTCATTTTTGTCCTTCACTCTGCTTACAGGTACTGTTTGATGAGTGTGAAAGGATGCTTCACTGATTTTCATATTGATTTTGGTGGCACTTCAGTGTGGTATCACGTTTTCCGTGGGGGGAAGGTAGGTGAACCTTGTTGTTTGATGCTTGTTTTTACTTCTCTGTGCCTCTTATGGAGGGGAGGGGTTGCTTTCCTTTATTTTTCTTTTTTTTCCTCTTTTTTGGGGGGGAGGGGGGAAGCTAGTCAGTGATCAGTCTATTTCAGCTAGCTTTGTTGATGTACACAGAGTTTGCTGAACTAGAAGGACACCATTCACCTTTATGAAACAATTGAGTGATTTATTTGAAATACCAAATGTTTTGTTTGTTGGTGGTAGTGCTTTTAGGCTTGTTATTGCTGCATGGTTTGGAAGTGTCGTGCAGTGAGTACGTGGCTGTGTGTACCCTTGTTGGGTCAGAGTGCCCTCACAGGTCTCCTTCTGTAGCTAGAGCTTCTGTTTCCTTTTAGAGATTCCATGTTCCTTTAGTATGCACATGCACACTATGCCTCAACTGAAATATTACAGGATACAGAAGCGTTAAAATATACAGCATGTATGGCTACATTCACATCTTTACTGTTTTAGGTTGCTTTTCCCAATTCTAGTATAGACAGCATATGGTGGGAACTGAAATAAACACAGCAGATTGAACATCTCTGTGGTACAGATACTGTTCATCTATATAGTCCAATGAAGTTGTACTATACCAACGCATTGTTTTGAACTGAAAGTAAACTGTGCAGGCATCTTCTGAGTAAGATGTTTCATGGGAGAGAGATGACAACTGACAGTTATCTTGCCACTTCTAGCACATGGACTAATTGCTGCTGCTGTCTGCTGTGTGCCTCTGTGTACAGCACCTAGAAAACGTGTTTTATGCAGAAAGCAGGCTTGGTGTTATGTGTTCGTTTGTCTAACACACGATAACCTTGTTGGAATTTCTCAGCTATTTATTTTTGTTGACTGTTGGTAATAGTTAAATCTTTGTTTTATTTTTAGATCTTCTGGCTGATTCCGCCTACTCTGCAGAATCTAGAACTTTATGAAGAATGGGTTCTTTCAGGAAAGCAAAGTGATATCTTTCTGGGAGACAGGGTGGAACGATGCCAAAGAATTGAGCTGAAACAAGGCTATACGTTCTTCATTCCTTCAGGTATCACTTGTTAACTAACTGTTTTTGGAATCACTGGAATTGTTTTTGACTAACAGTTCTCTGTAAAACGCTCCTTCATATCTAAACCCAGTATTGGCCTCTTATTTGCTGTGGCAAAATAAAGGCTAGGGACTGAATGCACTTAATTTTCCAGAAGCTGTCCCATCCAGACTGATGAAAAATGTACTGTGAGGAAGTGTGTGCAGTGATCACTTGTGCTGTACTGGGGAAAAGGAGAGAGGACTTAAGTCTCGGGGGCTGTTAGTCCACCACTTCTCGTCAGAGTCATACTGACTTTTGCTATTGTTAGCTTTCTCGGAAAAATACTTTCCTGTTTTTGTGATCTTTTCTGGCAGGTTTCACCTGCAGTTCAGTAACCTACTTCTTTGCCTTTGTCTGTAGTCGATTCCCTGATGGAGCTCAGTGGAGATTCCGGTTTATGGAAGAGCAGGCACTGTGCTCCCTCAGGGCTGCTTCTTGGGGAAACAACTTTATTTTATTGTCATAACTCTTCAGAACTTCTGCTGATGGAGATTGTGCTCAATCTGGACATCTTCCAGTAGCCCAGCTGTACTTAATTTTTACGCTACTGCCCACCTCAGTAGCTGCGTTGCATGATTCAGGCTCTTCTTGCAAAGCAACCAAATAGTTGCTGCTTTGAAGGCTGGTGCCTTCAGCCCTTTCTGCTCCTGCCTAAATTGGATTAAGGATCATGCAATCTGTAACACTTCTCATTTAAGATGATACCAGGCTTTGCTGTCTTTGACTATTATGGGATCGTAAGTTTGTTTATAATGATGTAACACATCGCCTCTGTCTAGTGGATCTGAGCAGGGAAATAAATATAGGTAGCCTTTCTACATGACAGAAAGACAGGTTGGTAGTTCTTCAGCTCTAGAATTACTCTGTGGAGGTAGGATTATTATTTTTTAATCCTGGAGATAGAGAGAATGCAGGTCATGCGAAGACAGCGAGAATGTTCTTGCCAGCTAGGGAGCGTTGTCAGTATTGGTTGAAGGCTACAAATTTGCACATTTGTAAGTATTTGGTAAGAATCAGCCTGGGAGGTGACAGGCAAAATGACTTTGAGGGTGGAGGAGTTAATCCATTAAAGAAATTAGGTCTTCCCTTGAAACAGGTCAGAATGTGCTGTTACTGTTTGAACTGGGTGTTTGAGTGTGCCTGTGCTGTTTGCTTAGATCCTGTTACTGCATCTTCGTATTTATCTTCATTCCCCTGTGAACAGCCTCCTACGAATAAGACTTTTTCTGTATGTTAGTTTAGTCATGCTCAGCAGTTGGAATACAGCAAGTTGTGGGAGCTTGTACAGGACACAACTGTAACATGGTGGCTGAAGTGAAGTGATTTCAAATGTGTTTTTTGACTGTAGTTTCTGTTTTCTTAGGAAAGCCCAAAGTACAGAAATACCAATACCTCAGAGATTTTAGGCTCCATGCCATACTTGAAAGGCATGCATGACTAATTTCTCTGTAAGCACTTCATGGATTCAAGGGGTTTTGCTCTGCTGTATTTTGTTTGGAAAACTTATTTGCAAATCTCTTATTTATGTGAAAGGGTGTTATTTCTATGTTTGTTTTAAGAGTACGGAAATGCCTAATTAAAGGCTGTTCCAGGTCAGCGAATTGAGCATAGCTGTGTAAAACAGGTCAATTCCTATGACCTCTTTGCTCTGGTTTGTGTGAGTATCACACTGGTTAATGTTTGAATGTGTTTTGTATGTACTTTATAAGTGTTCATAGTGTTCAAGTTCTGATAACGGGTGCCTGTAAAACCAGCGTGTCCCATACTTTCAGTTGAGCCTGATAAACTCTTGACCAGCCTCAACTCATCCACGAGGAAAATACCTTGTAATTACAGGCCTGGTCACAGAAGGCATAGAGTGATATAGCTAGTGCTCAGCTGGACTGTGAATGGAGAACATCTCAGCAAAGGACATTTTCCATAAAATATCCTGTTCTGCTCCTGTTTTCAAGTCATTTTTGAGGGTGGTCCTAGGAATGCTATTATACCATAGCAGTGTAAGGATGAAGTAGGTAGAGAAGACTGTAAAAAAGACATACGAGGAAGTGAGATCATAGGCTTGTGGGAGATGGAAGTTTTCTCTGAGAATCTAGGATCAGCAGTAGAGCCAGTAAATCCCTGAAACTACAAACCACTTGGACAAGCATGGGAATTATTCTTACAGAAGGCATAATTATAGTGCTCCCCAGGGCCTCAGGATATTTTCCTCTCCATCACTGCCATCATCCTTTCAGGATTAAGTTTAAACCAGTTAATTTCTACCTGTGCTTCTAACCCTGCAAAGCACTGAGAGGCGCAATCACAGCTGTGGTATCAAGGAGAAATTGAGCGAAGTATTGTCAGCATAGTGAGTCATTATAGGCCAAGGTGCATCTTGCAGCATTTTAGGAGTCTCTCCTAGGTATGGAGTGGGGAGAAGTAAGCTGGGATTCTGAGGGATACTGTGTCTGGGGCCTTGCACAGGAGGCAAGCTGTACTCCTGATGGCCCCATAGGACTTCTCCAAACAAGCGATGCACCGTTACAAGTTCTCACCTCCTACTTTACCAGTTCCCACTGATGAGTCAAGGATGATCAACTCTGGTAAAGTTTGCGGTGAAGTGATAAAATCAACTAGGAACCTGGCCTTTTCCTTTAATATAATTGTCTAAACTGTCAGCATAATTGTTGATTGAGAAATATACCACATTGTGCCATGCTGAGGTTTATGGCCAGATGTAGATTCAAGATGTTAAAACAGCTGAAGGTTCAAGAAGGGAGGAAGCTATAGTCACTATCAGTGTCAGCAAATGATTATTTTTTTTCTGTAGAAATCTGACTGTTGTTTTCCCAGGGTGGGAGAGAACTTGGCCTTATGCAGGAAGACATTAGTAAAGAATGCTACGGCCCTAGGGTGTTTGCACTGTGTATGTTACCATGAGCAATGTTTAATCTTTCATATGGTTAAGTGTTCAACACAGATGAAATTTGGTCAAGGTAACACATCATACTCTGGTATAGTGGACAGTGGATGCTGCGTATCTGACCCACCTGCCAAATAGAAGGGAAATTCTTTATAGAGTGTGCTTCTCTTTTCAGGTATAAACTATGATGATCTGGAAGAGGAAAAGCATAATCTCAGTGCTCAGTTATTGTCTCTGTAGGGGAACAACAAAATTCTATCAGTCATAATCAAATCTAGAGCTTGTCCAGTATTACTTGTGCTGTAGCTTTCTTCTGTACCATGTGTGTGTCCAGTGATGGCTTGCAGGAAGGATGTGTGAAGTGTTTGGAGTCCATTGTGGTGGTGTTATGGAGAAATAGTTCAGATATCTCTCATCACTGTGCTAGGGACACGCAGAACCAGTGTTTGGGCAGCATCCCTCAGATTTCTACAGCTCAGGATTACTGTAGGCACATGTTTCTGGCTTGTATGCAGCCGCTTGTTCTTCTATTATGTCCTGATTGCTCCCCTACAGTCTGTTTGAAATACTGCTCACTAAGTTAATGCCAATGTCTTACCCAGTTTTTTAGTATCTTTAGTGCTTCTCCTTTTACTTTAAATATTTTTCTCCTTTTATGTCACTGCATAACTTCACTGGAACCTTTCCTCTCTCCTTCTCTTGCCCTTCGCCTGCCACTCCAGTCTTTATGCTCTGTAAACCATCTTTTACTTCTATCCTTGCACTTGTTTTTTCAAGTGGCACATTATGCAGTGAATTCCCTTCCGTCTCGATTCTCTGAACACCATGTTAGTTTCTCTTGTGTACTCCTAAATGTCACTGTTGTTACCAAAACCCAAGCTCAAAACTAAGCATACACAAAATGAAAAATTCATCCTTTTTCAATACACTTGCTCCTTTGAGTCTTTTAGTCTTGCTGATATGTCATTTTGATTGTAAGTGATGGAGCTCCGACATGGATATTGTCCTTCTCCTCCTTCCCTGCTGTCCTCTGCAAACAAGATCTTGCAGTAGTTTGAAATATGTTAAGCTTGTTTGCTTTTTTCCTCAATTTCCTGACAGACCTCTCTTTCAAAAAAAGGACCTTTTTCTTTTGTGCGTGTGTATATATGCTTGGTGTAGACACCTGCACTTGAAATTCAAGAGAGTTTGCACATGCAAAATTGGGACATACAAAAGTAGGCCAACTAGTAGTCTCTTGTGGAAAATTTGTCTTGCAGTATTTGTCTCTGTTGTTAATATTGTGAAGTAAGAGTATAATCATTATGTGTCTTGAAAAGGTGAACTCGAGCCAGTTCTGGATTGTTACTGATAATGTAGTCTGCCAGAACATGCATAAACTTGGATTTTCTTCTCTTTTTGTGAAGACCAGTTTCGCTGACCTCCAAGGAAGTTGCCACCCATACTGTGGATACAACTTGATTCCAAGATTTGCAGTGTGATTGGTCTAAGAAAGTTTGCAAACATATTGGTTTTGGTTCCTTTGGGAGGAGATGGCTAATACTACCAAGGGTTACTCTAATCATCCTCTGTTTCTTACAGTCTTTTTCTGAGCCTCTGCTGGTGGTCAGAGGCAGTAGACACATGAGCAGGTATGCTTTTGGGGTTGACTCTGCATGGGTGTTCTTACTGTAGGCTTTCCAAATATGTAACTTTAAAGTGAGTACATTGAAGAGATGGCATGTTGTGATGTGTGTGAACTGGTAGTTTAGAGATCTATGTTTGTGGGGGAGCACAAATCCTCAAGTAGCTGGGCCATTTTGGGTGACTTTTGTCTAGTCTTTAAATCTGACAGTAATGGTCCCAGTAATAGACCACTACATAGTCCATAAAATAATGGTCCAAGAAGTCACTGTGCATTTTTTATTTCTGCAAATTGAGTAATGGACTGCTATTAGATACTGTAGAAGACTTTTGCAGTGCTGATTTATTAGACGTTCCTATGATCAAAATCCAGACAGGGTAACTTACTGTCAACTGGACATGGTGTTCCTTTCTGGTTCCTCTTCAGACTTCT